ACTCTAAATAGGGAAATTGCTAACTCTACCTCCATATATCCCAGGAAACCAATATAGGCCCATTTCTCAAACTGATAGAATGTGTCCTACAAGTAGGAAACATAGGGGTATCATTTAAAAAGGTACTATATCACAACCTATGTAAACCTAGCATATCAGAGAAGACAAAAAGGAAGCTGGCCTGCCGGACTATTGCCACAGTTCTCTTGATTAAACCAGAGACTACTTCATTACATAGGCACTGGGATCTCAGCTCCCAGGTGAGGTCCTTTTCACTACATCCCAAAAGGTGTCTCCAGTCCTGAGCTGCTAAGCAGCTTTATCCAACATGTTCCGTGACATTGTCAGGAATAATATTGTGTACAGCTCAAGCTTTCAAAGACAGGAAGGTTTCTTCTGTTTACACAATTTGCTCCCTCCTCTGATTCAATAACTCAGGAAAGATCAGTCCAGGACAAAGGGTCACAGAGAACTGTTCCGGCATCTTAGCCTTCCAACCTCACATGTTGAGAGAACACACTGAAGTTAATGTCAGCCCGCCCAAGTTGAAAGATAGTACTCAGATGTTGCCAGCTGCAATTGAGGTCCCTTATCCAAACCTTTGCACCTTTCCCGAAAACAGAAGTCTAACCCGAGAGAGAAAACAAGGAAAAACACCTAGCAGCAACTTTTCCACAGGCCTGGTTCTCCCAGGGGCGAAAGACGAGGCAATAGTCCTTTCTCAACTTTTGTGATAATTGCCACTGGATGGAAAGAGAGAGGAGTTTGTGTAGCTGGAAAAAGCTTCACAACACGGTAGAAATGCATGTAGGTAGCAATTGTTTGGGAGAGCTCCCTCGAGGACTGGGTTGCTAGGTGGCTGATAAATACAAACAAACAAGATTGACTACAGAGGGACCAAGTCTGAGCATGGCTTCTGGGACAAGGAAATCAATAAATGCCAGTCAGTGAGGTAAGAAGAATAGGCTTATACATGCGGAGTTTACCTGCGCTCTTTTTTTTTTTTTTTTTTTTTTTATAGAAGTGATTACACAAAGATGGGTACAGTGAGAACTCACTGGCACAGGAAATAGGAGACCAGGAAGAGGAGAGGAAGTTTGTTTTAAAGGCGAGGTTAAAAGAAAAAAGGCTGAGCCTGTGGCACACGTAACCACGTATTTGCCCGTCTGCAGTTTGTCCTGTGGGATGGCCTCATGCCTTTGCTCCAAGGATCAGCTGTTTGTAGAAAGACGTCTATAAACCAGACATCTTGTGGGAAATAGATTTGTGAACAACTCTTGCTTGGGGGGGCTACATTCTCATGGAAGAGTCGCAACAGCAGCCAATAATGCTGCCTGAAACAGCTTACCTGTGTCTGGAAGAAAGAAACGCATTTCCTAGGCAGCCTGGTTCTCAAGACTCACCTCTGACATATCCCAACAACCTCCTCAGAGGTCACTCTACCATGTTCTGATGTGAACTAGCTGTTTTATCCTGAACTAGGATGAATTCACTATTACCTATCCCAGTATCTAAAACAAACAAAGCACCCCCTTCCCCCAGCAAACAAATGAACAAAAAACGCTGCTCCTTCCTTCTAAACCAATAGCCTTATACTTTTCCTTCTGTCACAAGGCTCACTGCCTCTTGAGACCTCTTTGCTCACATTAGCCTAAAGAACCCTTTCTGCCCTGCTATGGATTCTCTGTGGTTTGAGTGACAGCCTGCCTTGCAAGGTTCATTTTATGATTATGTGTCTTATCTCTTCAATCTGACTATAAACGCCTTAAGGTCAGGGACTGAGACACATTCATTCATGTTTTTATATCCCCAGGGTTTAACATAATGTTCAATAGACGTTCGTTGCTAGTTTTATGTGGATGAAAAAGGGACAGACACTATATCAAATAAATGGCAGTTGCTAAAAACAAATACAAAGCAATGGCTGACACTGTTCCAATTCCAACAGGACTTTCCTTTACTCGGGTGTTCAGGGAGCCAAGACATAGATCCGTCATACTCCACAACTGGCATCCAGGATCAACTTTCAGCAACGTCAAAGGAAGAGAGGCAAAAGCAGTTCTAGCATCAGTAATTGTTCTTTAATATGTGAACAGGAAGTTACATACATTGAGGACGTTGTTTTCCCTAGGATCTAGCTTCAAGGGAAGCTATTAACTATAGTCAACTTAGGCACTCAATCAGATCTCGGCTATGACTGTTAGTGGGGGAAAGGGAGGGGAAGTGGCTTTAGTGGCTAAGAGGCATCCTCACCATGGACATTTTGCACACCTTCCTCATCTACACAACTAGGCAGCTTTTTCAGCTAATGAGAATGTATGTTCCACGCTGTGCTAAAACAAACCTTCTCATATAATGTTGGCACAATATGGAAACTCCTTATAATCTCGAAAGGAATTTTCATTCTCACAAGAACCACATTTTGGGGATTATTTAGCATCTCTCTCCCTCTCTCCCACATCTCTCGCTATCCTTTTGGTAGAAAAGGAAACTCCTATCCTCTCCATGTATGACCACAGTCTGGGACAGATAAGGACCATTTCTGTTGTTGTAGGTCAAAGAGACTGGGACATGCTTTTCTTTCTGTTTCCTGAACTATCATGTTTCCAAAGTCATGCTGACTATAGTCTATAATACGTGTACCCAGACCAATGGCCCCAGCTCAGCCACCCATACTGAAAGGCATTTAGTACTCAATTTCAATTCAATTTTAAAACAGTTATCGATTGCATAAGACTAAGTGGAGGCTGAATTGTTTTAAGCCAGAATTCTTGCCCTAAACTTACTTAGACTTCCATGAAGGAGGCAGATACAAACAACAGACTCTATTCCAAAATACAACAAAACGAGTCTAACGTGAAGCACAAGCAAAGCATGGGGAAACTTGTGGTCAAAGGAAATTCAACCTATGTAGACAGCCAGGAAAGACTAGGAACATACTGAGATGGAAACATTTCGTGGAGGTGAGGGCGTTTGATGAGGCCTTCAATGGATGGGTGGAATTTAGCAAGGGGCAGAGAAAGAAAGCAAAGGCCCAGGGATGTAAAGAGCACGGACTGGGAAGCCCTGATGTCTGTTGGGGTGGAGGGCACGGTCCAGATGCTTGTAGAGACTGGGGCCGAAGGGTGTGACAGGAGGGACTTCGGGTGTGTGCCAAGGCCTCCACTGACAGGACAATGATGGCTGAAGAACGTAGGGTCTGGACGAATTCCTAGTGCAAGGAAGACAACTGCACTGACAGTGGGAGGGCAAGACGGAAGAGAAGGAAGATCAGTGAGAAGCATCAACACTGAAACTGAGCGATTGTTAGTCAAGGAGTGTGTACATTTTGTGTTTGGACGCACGAGGAAAGTCCTCTCATGGTCACTGCCTTACAGGGTAGTGACAGAACTCACACCCTAAGTGCTAAGTCAGAGGGATGTGCCTCCCACCGGTGCTAACTGCAGAGCATGAACCCCTGTTGGGAGAAGCCCTGCCCTATACTCCTCCTTATGTGACAGTAATCCGATCTGGACACACAGAGGGCACTAAGAGGGATGGAAAGTGGACAATACAGGCTGGGGAGGTCACTCCGTGGCAGACTTTAATTAGAGGAGTCTGAGATTGGAGGAGGAAAAAAGGATGCGAATTCTGCTTAGTCATAGTGAATTTTGAGTGTGTGGAAAAGAAGACCATGAGAGCTTCAAACTGTCCTGGGGGGACGGCAGTGTGAGCATGAGAGGAACACAGAGAGGCGAGATAGAGATGAGTTAGGGTCCGTAGGGCAAGCAATAGAGAGGCACAGAGAGGCGAGATAGAGATGAGTTAGGGTCCGTAGGGCAAGCAATAGAGAGGCACAGAGAGACGAGGTAGAGAGTTCACCTTGGTGGGTGCAGTGCCTGTCAGCTAAGCACAGGAAAACCAAACACTGTGTGAATGAACAAAGCAGGAAAGCAAGTAGCTGCCTGAGCAAGCTCTCATCCACTGATTCAGAAGAAAAATTCACCTTGATTGACTGGCCCGCATTATACTGACAGCAATAAATCCTTTTGGGCCGAGCAGAATTCGGTTCAGCTTTCAAGGTGCTATCGCTTTGCATACCAAAATATCCATATATCTTGGGAGAGTCTGAAAAATTATGTTTTTCCTTTCATAGACAGGAATGTAAAATACCCACCGCATCTTCCTGGATGGCGCCTGGGTGAATGCAGCCCTTGTTATTTTTCATAAGCTGCTAAATATCTAGTTGGGTAAAATTATGGGCTCTTTGCACATGGAGTTTTTCAGTTTGGTTCCTGAACACCAGGGCAGTAAATGGACTCCGAGCTTTCCATTTAACCAGACAGGTATACTTCACACAGTGGCAGAGGGTCCCAACAAAAACTATTTCCTTGTGCCATAGCCAGAGGGCCCCGTGGAATCAGAGAGACAGCCCTGGGAGGGGGAATATAACTCAGTTGGCAGAGTGCTTGCCTGGATTCCATCCCCAGCACTGCAGAAACCAAATGCCTGTAATCTCAGTGCTTAGGAAGCGGAGGCAGGAGGATCAGAAATTCAAAGTTGTCCTCTCATGACCTAGAGAGCTTAAGGCAAAGCAGGATACGTGAAAAGAAAATGAAAGAGAGAAAGAAAAGATTTTTAAAAAAATAGTAAAGTCATCTGTAGATACAGGAACTGAAACTACCCTCGGCTGTCAGCCCGTGACCTTCACTCTGACCCGGAGTGCTTTCCCCAGGAATGACTTGTCTGCTTTACAAGGCCCAGTGAATTCTTTCTCTTTAAATTCTTTCTTCCTTCCGGGACTGTGAATTTTGAGTTTTTCAGGTAAGCCACCCATGTCCCCTGCTCAGCAATGAGTACAAACCAGAGGGTGGAGACAAAGAAAAAGAATAAGCAAAGCTATGTATGTACACACACACACACACAAAACTGAAGAAAACAAAACAGACAGCCCAAATGTTCCTTTATTGAGCTTTATCACACTTCCCTCCATGTAGAGTGAACAAACACCAGGTAAGATATTAAGGTCAGCCACTTTGTCAGAGCTCAGAGCTGTCGAGTTCCTGGGGAGGCTCTTTGCCAAAGCCGAATGCATGAACTCTTAGCGTATAGAAACTAGAATGTGAATTAAGCTCATATCACTCAAAAGGAGCTGAATGCATCTGAAACCAAAGTACACTGTCAGCCACCTCCACTTGCTCCAGGCACTGATACCTTGATTAGCTATGCAAGAAGCTACCTGCTGTTTTAGAATTATATGAAGTCACCTCGGGGTATCTGCAAGCTTCTCACGCACAAGGGACTGACTACCCCCCTCCCCCCCTTCTTCTTGGCTTCCAGCACAGTTGTTGCTACATCCAGGTAAGTACTATATATCACGGTCTGTTGTTGCATAAGCTGTCATTAAGGCACCTTGCCTGCTCATAGGAGAAGCAATCAGCATACAATAATGGTCTGTTGCTATGTTCCCCCAAGATGAAAAAGACACTCAGCCTTTGGAGAGAGGAGGATAGGTATGTCCCTAAAACATTAGGGAGCCCAAAGGCTAAAAATTTTTTAAAAAATCAAAAAGGAGTCAAAAATGAATCAAGTACTTTTTGCTGTACCCCATCTTTTTTTAAAAAAGAAATTACCTTCTCTCCTAAAATAGTAACGAAAGTTATAGGAACAAAAGAATAGCTCACATGATAGGCATCTCCAGGAGGAAGCTGCCAGCGCACATAGCATTACGGGCACTGTGCACGGCATGTTTCTACCTGAGAGACACAGATCCGATTTCGATACTAGACTGCTCAAAAACCCTTCTACATGAAAATGTGATCGTGAACACGAGGGACTGACAGCTCAGTCTCCAAAAGCCAAGGTTAACAAGGGCTTATGTCTACTTTCCCAAATAGAGAAGTCGCCGTAGCTCACCTTTGACCTGCACTGCCCTTAATCTTCCAGCCTCCAGCCCTGCCCGGGGAAGGGTGTAAGGATTCTGGCTAATCGAGCTGTGCCAAAAAGAGGGCTGAACACTCACAACAGCTTAGACCGAAACCACCTTAATCGCTCACCTTTCATCTTCTCAGATTTCCAGTGTAACGATTCAAACTGCGTGTAGACTTCTCAGGCTTTGCTCCCTGCCCCGCCCCCCACCCCAAGACTTGACTGTTCACGTGAGAGGGAAAAAAGGGACCAGATTTCTGTTTTCTGCTTATTCAGCACTAACGCCTGGTAGCTGCCATCACAAGGGCTCCTCGGAACCCAGGTTTCCACTGACCTCAACTCTTGATTGTAGCCCCTTACGACAGGCATGTTGTTAGCATGTACGGTCTGTGAATCCAATCTGCCCTGAAGCTTTAATTTAAAAAAAAAAATCCCTTATTCCACATGCAATTATGAGGCATGCGATTTACATTTCCAGCTGCAAAAATTTCTCATGCCAATAAATCCCTTTGACCCGAAGTAACCGAATGCACCTTAGAAACGGGAGTCTCACTGCTTAGTCACGAAACAACAGCAGCACCAACCACGTCTTTTACTTACTTAGGTGCGGCTAAGTCCAAGCAAGGCAAGCTTCTCACAGCCTGGCATGGATGACTAGAACAAGGACCACAAAGTGAGGTTAACTTTTGTTTTTGGGGATCATAAAAGTAAAGGAGTTAACCAGAATCCCAGGTTTCACTATGGAGACGGGCAGACGTCAAGCTGGTTAAAAAGTCTGAAAATGGATGCCATGTTGCTCGTGTAAGCTATAAAAAAGCAGAGACAAAATTCTGTCCCGTTTTCCTACTACCTTGTCTTCCAAACCTCGGATGCTCTGAAGTTCACATCTTAATGCAAACGTTTTTTTGTTGTTGTTGTTGTTGTTGTTGTTGTTTTTTGAGGGGAGGTGGCTGCAAATGGAGACTCTCTTCCGGTAGGTAGTTGCTAAGGTTTGTGGTCCAGAAGGAAGGTTGAGTATCCAAGAAAGACAACCCAGTTGTAACCCTTAACTGTCCCCTTACCAACTGGACTGTGATTCTTTCTTAGTAGTGTTCAAGAAGAGGCAGGGGAACTGTCCGCACACTGGTGATAGATTGAGGAGTCTCCAGGGGTAGGCCTGTCACTGTTTCCTCTATCAGTATGACCTCAGCTCCAGTGAACGAGAGGGGAACACATTTGAAAGACACCCCCCCCCCTTGTCCCTGGAATCCAATAGGAAGCTTCACCCTTGGCTAATTGCTGATGTACTCATCCCACAAATATTTATTCATGGTCCATGCAGCTCCTCAGTCCCCGCGTCGTCACACTGTCACACTGGAAGAGGAAGCCCTGGCCACCTTCTCCCTCTCCGAGTAAACACATTCTAATTGCAAACAAGTAACTGGCAAGCCGTTATTTGAAGATTGCCTTTGACTGTGTTCAACTACAGCATAAAGGGTTTCAGGGTCTCCAAAACATTGACTTGCTTTCTTGTCTCTAAAAAAGTAAATGTTTTCATAGTGTGTGTGTGTGTGTGTGTGTGTGTGTGTGTGTGTGTGCGTGCGCACTATGGGGAAGGTGTCTCCCATGTCACAATATATGAAGAGGTTACATGACAACTCTGTGGAGACAGTTCTCTCCTTTTACCTTTAGGTGGGTTCCAGGGATTGAACTTAAGCCACCAGGCTTGGGTAGCGAGTGTCTTTACCCACTGAGCCATCTTTCTGGTCCTCTTTTTCAAGCCCCTTCCTTTTCAAATGGACATTGATGAATCCATGTAAGACATCTTTCCAGCCCTGAGAAATAAAGCTCGGTATTGTCTGGCCAGGTTCCTGCTAGAATCGTCTTTGCATTCCATTTAAGAGCAAATGACAACTAAATCTTGCACTTCTAACTTGAGGTGTAATTGGGAAAAATACATATTGTTCTTTTTTTCACAGAATGCGGGGCGACAGCATAGACTTGATCAGCAGCATTTTATTACAAACTCAACAGGCAAGAACTAGCGAGGTGACTAATGATGAGGTGGAGACCGGCTCTTAGGCGATCTCGAAGGGAAGAAAAGTTCACTAAAGTTCAGTCTCAGAGAACACAAATCTAACAGCTCGGAATTCATTAAAAAGAAATGTCGCGGCCTCTGTAAAAGTGTGCACACTTAGAAACTGATTTTCACCAAGACTTCAGGTATCGGTGGCATCAATGGGATCAGGTCAGTTTTAAGATGGGAATCCTGCCCTTCTTGATTCTGTTTATCCCAGAGCAGCAGGGGTTAAGTCTCAAGTGTTTATTATTTCTGAAGATAGACTCATACATACACACGAGAAAGAGAAAGACTCCAAGGTGGAGCTAGTTAAACACAAGGAGGCCCAGGAGGGTCAATGAGGAATAACAGAGTCTTCTCTATCCCCCCACAGAACTCTCTCATGTAAGATGTCACTTCCAAACTCCAAACCGATGGAAAGGGACTGGAGCAGAGTCTGAAAGGAGAGGAAGCTGCCATTGGGTAAACACATGCCTGCGTCCTCTCCAAAATAGATCGAGTGTCTTTAATCCTGCGTCCTGGCCCCCAGAGGATTTATGGCTCTTATTTTCTTTTCTCTCTTTCCTTGTGGGCCTTGCCAAAGTAGACTTCATCTCTCCTTAAAGCATGCAAACACAGAGTTCTGCTTTCCCTGATGAATCAGATCGGTGCCAAGCACAAGCTGTAATGACAAAATTACGTGCCAAGGCAAGGACAAGGTGATAGTCAGAAAGGCCAACAGAAATGCCACTATGCCCCCTCAGCTGCTGGCGTTTACAAAAATAAGAGGCCAGTGTCCCTATACCTCACTATTGGCACACTCATCCCCTGCCCCAAGTACAATAGGACGATGTCACCTATGTTAAAACTGCTTTGATTTGTATGGAATTGGCATTTGAGTTTCTGCTCCATCACCCTGCTTCTGCTTCACGAAGAGCAACTATATGTGTATTCTCTAAGCCTCCCTCCCTTTCCCCATCAGCCTGCTAGCATTCTGTTAGATTCTGAAGGAGTCATAGCACATGTGTAACATGCAGTGACCTTCATTTCTAAACTGTCTCCCATCACTACCTAATCACCCCAGTCCCCTGCCTCCTAGGAGTTCACACACCCACGCTTCCACCTGTCATGATATGAATATATATATATATATGAATGAATATATATATGAATGAATGAATCATGAATATATATAGCATATATTGTAAGCAGCTTTCTATTTGTTACTTTTCTCATGCCCATAAATACCAGAGACCTTCAATTTTCTCCGTCCATCCCCGACACACCCTCTGAGTTGCAGAGATACGCAGTGAGCTTACGGTTGAACATCGTCACAGGAAGTTTCGCCACGTCTCTTCCCTTCCGCCTAGTTTTTCTGTATAGAGTACAGTGTGGTCAATGTCACTGCGTCCAGAGCTGTGGAGTCACCCTATCTGCTTTCCTCTTCCTACCAAAGTACTTCCCACTTCTTATCTATCCAACCTCTTATTCAACATGTCAGCAAGTATTCCTAGAGCATCTACACTATGCAAAGAAGTAGTCTCCACTTGAGGGATACACTGCCAGAAAAAAAAAAAAAAGGCAGGTGAATCCCTTACATTCTGAAGTTCACATGTGAGTCGTAGGAGGTCACTCATAAAGATAGTGATGGTGGCAAGGATGACAATAAATGGCGGTGGCGGTGACAAATATACAATGTAGACAGCTTCTTGGAAGCTGAGAAAGTAATGAGGGGAAAAGGAAGATCACTGGGAATTCCCACTGCAGCTCAGGTTGCAGTGTGCATGGCTCAGTCTTTTTTCTTCGCTTCTCTGTCATTGCTTCTACTTGGTACACACATTCAACCTTTGTTACAAAAACAACACATACTGACAATTCTCAAACTCACTTCTCTTGAGCCCAAATAGATCTATCCTGCTCTCTACAGAAAACCTCCCCTTGGGTATCACGTAAATCAATCTTGGCTTGTTGGTCTGTGACAAGGAACAACAGTGGATGGAATTTTAGACAAAGAGACAGATAAATCCCTCTGAGAGATGGCAGTCAAGCTTATAATGGCTTCATGGATACTAGAAGCATAATCCAAGTGGTTTTCATAGAGATATATATGGCCTAATTCTATATAATTTGTGGAGGATTCCCCAAGATTTCTTTTTGTTGCTGAAATGGTTTTTGCTTCGTAGAAATGTTGCAAGCAAGGTATAGAAAGAGTTCGCCAAGTCCTTCACAAGTTTCCCCCGTATTAGTTGCTATGCCTATTTTATAATGCTCATAAACATAAATTACAGATCACATTTGGTTTTCCTCCAGTTTTAACTCACATTATCCTCTTTGTTCCCTGTTTTCCCCCAGTGTACTTCTCCAGTGCCTGTTTCTCTTCCAGGATCTCACACAGACTTTAGGGGTCATGCCCCCTTAGTTTCCTCTAATCTGTGTACACGGATGCTCAGTATTTCCTCATCACATGGCTGGGTGCTTTCGGTAACAGTCAGGTGTTTTGTAACATGTTCGATAGTTTGCATTTATCTTATATTTCCTGATGATATTGTATAGGCTCTTTAGCAAGAAATTGTAGAGACTCTGTAGGTCTTCAATACATCTCAGCAGAATATGCCAATGTGCTTGTTAACTGGTAGTGCTGGCTTCCAATATCTCTTGACAAATTAAAATGTGAGGAGCAAGAGAATAAGAGGAGTGAAGTAATGACTTTAAGGATTTTATTATGGAAACTGGAATTATGAATTTATCTATTGTGAGAGATGCAGGAATGGGGAAGAGAGGAATTCACAAGTGAACACATATGATTTGGGTCTATAAGCAGTTTCCAGCATGGAACTGGATACGTACGTTTAGGATTTAGGAGACAAGTCTTTCAAGCTCAGCAAATGTATTCAGGTGCCAAAACTTGGACCAAGTGTTTGTACCAAAGAAGAAATAGAGAGTAGAGAAGGGAAGATAAGGACCATGCCCTGGGACATCGCAACAGTGTGAAATTGGCGAGAAGGGGAGAAATGGCAAGCAATAGGAAGAACAGCGACCACTGTGTGGGGAAATGGCACAGTGGGGTAAGGCACTTGCTGCCCAGCCTGGCTCATCTAAGTTTGACCTCCAGGACTCACAAGGAGAGACCGACTCAGGCAAGCTGTCTTCTGACTTCCATGTGTGCCATAGCTTGCATGACCACACACACACACACACACACACACACACACACCACACACACAAATCAATTAAATGCCATTTAACATAAAAATAAAAAACAAATAGCAATTACTAAGGTAACTCTTAGATGTCTTTTTTCTTCTATTTTTTCATTGAAAATAGATTATTTTTGTCTAATATGTTCTGATTATGGTTCCCCCCCAACTCTTCCCAGATTGTTCCCACTTCCCTTCCCGTCTGAATCTACACCCTTTCTGTCTCTCATTGGAAAACAAATGGGCACCCAGAAAACAATAGTGAAATAAAATAAGATAAAAACAAAAGCAGACAAATTGGGATGAGACAACCCAAACAGAAGAAAAAGAGAAAAGAAAAAGCACAAGAAAAACATAGATGCAGAAACCCGCATTCACACACATGGCTATCCCATAAAAACTCGAAACTGGAAGCTGTAATATACACACAAAACCTATGAGGTAAAAACAAAAACTGGCAAACACGGCACAAGTAACTCGATATTTCCAGGTATCTCCTGTCTCTCCCTCTGCACATTGCTGGCTGGTGGTCTCTGTATTGTTCCCATCTGCTGTAGAAGGAAGCTTCTCTGGTGATGACTGAGCAAGGCACTAATCTATGAATATAGCAGAATGTTTCAGGTGTCATCATATTGCTATGCTTCTACTAAACCAGTAGTATTTGGGTTTTCCCTAGGTCCCTGGTCTATCTAGTCTCAGATTCTTAGACAGCTGAGTAGTGTCGGGCATGGATTCCCTGTCAGGTAGTGGGGCTTAAATGCAAGCAGATATTGATTGGAACCCTGAGGAAGAAGAGGCAGAAAGATTGTAAGGGCCAGAGCGATGGCGGACACTAAGGAACAAAGCCTTCCAAACACAGCAGGTCCGATGCACATTTGAACACACAAAGACACTGGCAAAATGTGCAGCACCCGCAAAAGTCTGCAGCAGATGTGGTACCAGCACTGATAGGAGATGGACACAGCCCCACCCCTAAGCCAGGGATTCCCATCTGGTAACCATTTCCAAACGAAAGACCAGTTTTATCCAATGAAGTCTCACAAAGGCCCCAAGCCTCTTAGCTGATTTTTACAAAATCTTTGATTCTCCAACTTTACTCCATAACCAAAACTGTTCTCATTCCCTTACACATTGTCCACTTCTTGGGATGAGGCTTCTAGGTGTAAGGCAGGTTCTAAATGTTTCTCATTTATGTTTATTATGCTAAGCAGGTGAAAAATACCTACAAATTATCTGCGTGGCATCTAAGGGATGATAAGTGTCAGCTGTTATTGCCATTAATAGTTTTCCATCTTTGGGAGACCAGCGACACCGTAATAGCTCAGGCAGTTTTATGTCGGAGTTTTTTTGTTTGGTTGGTTGGTTTGGGCATCACTGGCTCTCGATAGATGCCTGCGAGTGAATATATAACACACAGTATGGTAAGGGCTCTTTAACCCCAAAGGCTGGATTCCAATGAAATCTCAAATGCGGTAGCACTTAGGATAAGGTGGGTTTATCAAAGGATCCATCAGCAGCCTCTCAAAGCCTGCTCCCCAGGTGACCATCGGCATGTGTTTTCACACTCTGTGCTGTGAACAGCAGGCAGCTTCTACAGGATCAGGCCTGCACTTGTCTAGAACTCCCCTGCACTGAATATATTTTGTTCAAGAATTCACTGACCAAACAGATTCTTCTGTTAATAGTAGATTCCTCAAGATGGGAATCCAACAACCAATGCTTCCAATACAGAATCATGCAGGGACCCTTTGCTGAATTTTCTTCTCTCCCTAAAGGTGTATTTGAAACAAAACAAAAACAAAAGCAGTTCCTTTCTTAGCACAATGCAATGGTGCAGTGAGATCATTTTCTGAGGCCTTTCCTTAATACAATGATGAAAAACATAAAAGAGGAAGCCATATTCTGCGCATGTAGATAACTAGATGGCCAGAGTGGGTCGCTATGCTCATCCCGCTAAGCACTCCACCTGTGCAGACCTAGCCAATGTGTGCTGCCTAAATCTACTGCAGTATTGTGGGATTCATATGAGCATTCTTTAACAATTTCCTTTACAGAGAATGTAAGTAGCAGAGGGTGGGAGCAGAGCCGTGAAGTGCTGTCTTCTGGATACATAGCATGCCTATTGTACACATCAGCTACTAACTTCTGTGCCTGACTGCCTAAGACCTGCGCAAGATCAAGCTCAGTTAAAGTTCCTGCACGTGAGAGAGATGCTCCCCAAGCCCCACCTTTAAAGTAGGAGTCATTATTAGTTGTTGGTTGCTGAGGAAGAGAGAGTCTCTCTCTTCTAGGGCCGTGGCGGCTGGGAGGCCATTCATTCCCCTGTGGATGGTTCCACACCGATGTGCGTGTGTCACCACTAAGAGTTGGACTCAAGTTTATTATTAATAATCATTATTGTTTATTAGAGGATGAGAAGTCGGGAGAGGGACCGGTTGGGGTATCGGGGGAAGAGAGTTGGAAGGAGAGAATGAAGAGTACAAGTGACCAAAATACACTGCATCCTTGTATGAAAATTTCCAAGAGGAAATAAAAACATTAGTTTTAAAAGGTTTTATAGAGACTGAGCTTATCTGATTAGATGAACGCTCTTCCCACGGCACCATGCTGAGAAAAGAAAACTTTTTGCTATGACTAGAAGATAGTGAACTTTACATTAGGAAAGAAAAAAAGGAGCTAAAAGCTCTGTGCTCCTGACACATGGACAGACTTCTAGAAGGATCTACTATGGTGCTTTTTGGTATGTTTACTTTGATATGCGTTTAACCTTCAATTAAGTCATTAAACCAAACTTTCATAGCACATCTATCTACCTTTTCCCCCTTAAAGTTAATATTGCAAATTTGTCTTCTTCCAGGGTTTGGTCCTTGGCCAGCAGTGCAGTTTTGACTCCATTGAGTGAGGAGATAAGAGGAAAATTAAAGAAATCTCTAACGCCAGTGCGCAGACCCCTGTGTTAGGAGCGGTGGGCCTGGAGCCAGCCAATAAGATTAGTTAGTTTCATTTTCTTCTGCATTTATCCAGTTCCTATGCAGCACGAGAGAGAGAGAGACAGAGAGACAGACAGAGACAGAGAGACAGAGACAGAGAGACAGAGATACTCGCTGCATCAGAAAGGCAATTTCTGTAGTCACCCCATCTGTAGGATTTGGGGTTCAGTTTTCTCTAGCTTCTCTGTCTTTGTTACCTGGCAACACAAGAATTCTTGTCATTAATCATAACCTGGGCCATTGGACTAAAATCATCAAATATATTAACTAAGCCTTACTTACTAGGACAGAATAACACACTTCAGAAAGATTGTGCACAGGGAATAAAATTTAAAATGGTTTTCTAACTCATACTTTTAATTTATCACATCACCACAGCTTGTGATGGAAGATACCATAAAATGATCAATTTTGGTCCATGCATTGAATTTCATGGCATTCATTTAGTCCCGGATGTGTTGAGAGTTGCCGGGGGTGCAGGAAGTATGAACATGAGGCAAATGTGAAACAAGCCTGTCTTTTGGAAAGGGGTGATCAAAATACAGAACATAGAATAAGGTCATGTTTGCATGATCCATAAACTAAGAATCATTTTAAGGTGTTGAATGGTTGTACGGAAAGGAAAAGAGAACTATTTCATGATATAAAAATGATAATACAGCCAACTGTTCGTATTTGCACGCTTTTGTGGAAACAAGGATTTTGTCACTTTCTTATCTGTGAATTTTACTTTTTTTTAATTTACGAATTTTTTGGTGTGATGGTTGAGTTGAGAGGCTTACATAATGGGATCCACCTGGCCTGCATGGCCCTTTAAGGTTGTTTGTAGACACTTGCTTTAGAAGCTCATACTTTATCGTGGGATATGTGGGCACATATATTTCATTTTTATAGGAATAGCTAGCGTTTGATACACATGTTACCATGGGAAAGCTATTCAATCTTTTCAGAGAAATCTGAGTTTATTAAGTATTGTTAATAACAATTAAGACTCAGGAAGTGAGGAAAAGCATTGTAAGCCAGGACATGGAGAATAGGCATGGAGCATGGGGACAGAGAACAACATGTTAACAGTGTCTTGACGAAGTTCAGAGAGGAGTGGAGAAAGAAGTGGAAAATGGGATTAAGGGGATTCATGAAATCAGATTAGGGATCAAAGATCACATATCTCCCATAAACAGTGGTGATTAAGGATGGAAAGTAGAAGTACTGGATCAGATTTTGGCTTTAAAAAGATAATGCTAACAGGAGGGGGAGAGCAGAGAAGGATAAAAGAAGAGGCAGTGGACCCAGATAAGGGGTGTTGCAATGACCTAAGTTAGACATGGGGATCTGCTCCGGGACAGTACGTCACAGGAATGGGGGGGAGCCGAGACCTACAAAAACATCTAACCAACTGAAATGATAACTACATTGGAGAGCAAGGAGGAGGTGGAGGAAGAGAGAGAGAAAAGAGGAAGAGAGAGAGAGACAGACAGAGAGAGAATAACATGATACTAGATAGAACTGAGCGATGGAGGAAATAGCTGAACAAGTCTTGGTTTGTTTGCTAAATGCTTAATACCATGTTTATGGAAGGTGCTGGGTTCAATGCCCTTCACATATGTACTTCTTTTCTTTCCTAAAACAGCCTAAAGGTTGACAATCCTGTTGGTGATTTCTAAGACACTACAACTTCTGTCTTTTCCATTCGGCCCCAGAATAAGATGCCATAACTGAATTTTTGAAAACAATAAATACGCCCTAAAAGAATTAATAAATAAATGCCGAGAGGCAAGCCAGGAAACAAAGAGACAAAGGTTTGGAATGATTCAGTCTTTCCACGTCCCCAGTCAGCGAGTTCAAGCCAACAAGCTTTATGTCATATATGAGGCATGAGGAGAAAACACCCTACAACCTGCAATCAGTGCTCATCTGAGAGACCCCGATGCCATCAAAGGCCAACACCATAGATATAGGTGAGACAATGTGATGTGGGAGTGTCATATATCAATCTGTTGATTTCTTTGGTTAAGTAATAAACAAACTGCTTGGGCTCATAGCTTAGAACATAGGTGGGTGGAGTAAACAGAACAGAATGTTGGGAGGAAGAGGAAGTGAGGTAAGACGCCTCAGACAGAGACGCCATGCCCCGCTCCTGGGCAGACACACGCGATGAAGCTCCGACCCAAGAAGAGGCTAGATAGAAATGAGCCAAGCGGTGTTTAAAAGAATACAGTTTCCGTGTAATTATTTCGGGTAAAGCTAGCCATGTGGGCAGCCAGATGCTGGGAAAGTAGCCCCGCCGCTCTTAATTCAACAACAGTGATCCCACCAAAAGAATTCTAGTTAGTTTGCTTAAGTACAATACCCAGCTGCTTCTCTTGCTAAGTTCTAAGACAATCCTGTTTAATTAAGCAAATACTACACACCTTCACAAGTTATATTCCCATGTCACTTCAAAGACTTAGTGGCCACAGTCTTTCCAAATCTGTAAAAGAAGGGACAAAGGGAGATGGCTCCAAAGTTTCACTAAGTGACTTAACATCTTCTATCACATAGCACTACAATAAAAGAAAATTATCAATTATTATAGAATCCAATCATAGCACCATCGATTTAAAATTGTCTTTAGGAAAGAAAAGAAGCATAAAATTCAAAGAGCATTGAACCTAGGATGTTCTCTAATGTGATGTTAAGTGTTCAGCAAATCAAGACCCTTAATTTGTATCACATGGACTTATTGTAGCCTATGAGACCATAGGGAAGTGGAACAGAATACCCATTGTTCCAGGCCAAGATAATTAAAACTGCATTGCAGAGGCAAGTGGGGCACAGTCCTCTCTCCTCTGCATGGACCTAAGATACACATGCTCTATTTTATGTAAATTGTGGGTTTTTAATTTTTAAATTCATCACATTATCGGAGAGGTATGTGCCTCTGTGTTTGTTAGGAAGTCAAACAACTCGTGGTTCATGGGATCAAATTTGGTTTGCCAAGCTTGGCAGCAGGCACCTTTACTCACTTAGCCATCTTGCCAACATATAAATTATATTTTAATAAATACAGCAATGGGGTGTTTGTGAAACACTGTATTGTACAAATTGAACAGATTTTGACACTGGTGGACTTCATTCACTCCTGTACATTGTACATTTTGAAGAGAAAAGTGTTATTCAGTGCTTTTGAAAGAAGAAGTCCATCATGAAATTCAGCACATATTAGACACATAATATATTACCTCTAAAAGTTACCTGGGTTTGTAGGCAATTTCAAAAGCTATTTATTTGTGGATCAGAATCAAATTTGTGTAAGCGGTCAAACTTTTTCTCTCCTCAGCTTAGCCATGTGCTGCAGAATATTGGTATTGGATAGCCAAATGTCTTGCTAACATCTTGTTAATAACAGAAAAGTCTGTTAAAAATTGGTCCAACATTTTCATTAATGGTTCTCTCTACTGTATATTCATTCTCTCTCTCTCTCTCTTTCTCTCTCTCTCTCTCTCTCTCTCTCTCTCTCACACACACACACACACAAGCACACATGTGCAACACACGCATACACACACACACACACACACACACACACACTGACGTAGTCTTCACGGCTATCCTCCTTTCAGAAAACAGCACCTCTGCACTTCACCTTCTAGTTATCTTTCTCAGTGTCCTTTCCTGTTTACCAAATGTGACGTAATTACCTTTGACACATCTCCTAACCCAAGCTCCTTCTCCCTGGCTCCATCACTTTATTTCAAAACATGGCTTCCACAACTCCAGTCTCGCTTCTTCCTAGCCCACTCCCCACAGCACGGAAAATATTTCTGCAAGTTTGGCTGTGTAACAGCACACTTGAAAACCCTCGGGGGCTGCTGTAATTTCAGAACAAATTAGAGACCTCTACCTGCCTGTGAGATTCCTGCTATGTTTTCTTTTTTCTTTTTGACCACTTTCAGTCATTACTAAGCATCTCTCAGTTCCTGGAGCATTAACACTCCCTACTACCACCCATTTCTGGACCAATCTTCCCCGTTTTTTCTTTCTTCTGCTCTGCCTCTTTCACTGGCTTACTCCTGTTTTTTCTTTCCACCTTTACCCAAGCATCAGTTGTATGAGGCTACATTCTGTGAACGTTCTGACAAAGTCAGATTAACACCTATCTCACGACCTCCCACATCAGACAGCTCATCACCTGCCGTTGTTATTATTGTCAGGCTTTACTTCTCCCGCTATGAATTCTTCAGTCGCATTGTCCACCTGATTCCTGACTCTATCTTCAAGGCCCATCTAGCCCAACGGCTGCCTGGGAGCAGAGGTCCAATGACAGTGGACCAATTAGGTGGTTGCTGAGAGCCCTTTGGGCTCTAAAGTTTATTATGTCTTTATGAATTTAGCTGCTCAGCTGACTGCCACGATCAACTCAACAGATACTGAAAAGGTTAAAACACTTCCTGAGTTGGAAAGGCAATAGGTAACCTAATGTATTTTAGCAAGGAAACCTATGCTCTTACATGGATATTTCAAGCTCCTATATACAGCTAGTAGACATGCCAAATATTCAATTCAAAACAAAATGTTTGAGAATTGCCTTAAAAGTTATTTTCATTAGATCAAATAAAAAATAAAAATACTTATTAATTAGAAAATAAGTAAATGCCAGTAGCTAAGCACAAAGAATTAATGGATGCCTCCATCCACACAAAAGCGGCCAAAGTTAGGCTGTCATATCAAACTACATCAAGAGGTTGCTGCAGTAGAGACTGGCTAGAAAAGGCCATGGGGGAACTTTTCACAGGGAACCCCAGGTTGGTTTTTGTGACTGCTTCAAGGATTTAAGCGATTGTCAAGATGTGTGACACAGAGGCGCTTAAGATACACTGTATGTAAGCACTGCCTCACTAGCATGACGTGTGAGTGGACCGAAACCAGGAGCTGCCCCTCTAGTTCATGTGTTTGACCGCATGGCCCCCATCTACTGGTACTGCTTTGGGACGGGCGTTGAATGCTTAGGAAAGTGGAGCCTTACTGGAGGAAGTCATAGGGGTCAGGTCTTGACATTGGACACCCAGGTACCATATCTTGCCCAGTCTTTCACAGTGGCTATGATGTGACATGAGGCTCCTGCCGCCATGTGTCCTCCAATGTGATAGACTGTTTCCCTTATTAAATTATAAGCTCTGGGGTTTATTAAGCCATATCTTTTTTAAGTTGTTTCTTGTTAGGTAATTGCTCATGGAGATGAGAAAAATAGCTAACATAGTAAGTAATCCAGGTGCCCGTAAAGAAAAAGCTTTGCTTCTGAGTCTCCCGTGTAAATTACTGCTCAGCTAAATGTTTGATTAGATGAGGCCCCTGAAGTTCTGCTGTCGTGAATCAGTGATCATCTCATGGTTGCTCGTGCTGGGAAGGCTCAAACAGGTCACATCAATACGTGCCTGATGCAAAGGAGACACACATGCAAATCTCCACATTGTTCCTTAAGATAACAGAGCGCAAATATTTCATCTTTAAAGGAAAGCCTAGGTTAGCTCGAAGACCACTGTGTGAGGCCACTTGGGCCTTTCCCCAAGTACCAGGAGGAAAGATTTAGGGATTACAGAAAGAATTTCACATTTATATACTTTCTCATCTCCCATTAGATATTCGGAAAAATACCACAATTATGGGTTTTGTTACAGCCTTTAAATCAGGTCCACAATTATGTTTTTGCCATTCATGGTTTTAACTATACTAACATTGTTTAGAAGAACTCAAAATAAAGGAAAAACGTTAAAGTTATTTCAGAAATGTTGTAGATTTGTTCATTATATGCAAAACAGTGTTGAGACTGAACAAAGAGCCTCTAAAAAAGAGAAGTTAAAACCCATGTTTGGGACAGCCAGCTCCCAAGAGCCTGATATCATATTCTGGTCTAGCCTGGGAGGCATAGTAAGACTTTGAGACAGGTCAAGGGGCGTGGTAAAACAGACCTCTATTTTCTCTGTGTTATTTAAAATCATCTTAATGTATGCATTCCTGATTCTGCCTGAGACTGCCCAGAAGGCACAAGTGGGTTACAGGAAGAGGTAACTAAAATGCTCACTGCCCTCACTCCCACTGCGCTACACTAATTTTTTTATTCAATAACATGTTCAGCACCTTGAAGAGAATCTGACACATTAATATTGAGTTATTGATAGATAATGCTATTTAATAAATGAGTAAACAGTAAGCGTCAATAAATGTATTTACAAATACAATGATACAATACCATTTGCTTTTTAAGCAGAGTAAGGAAAATATTATTTTAGAGGTGAAGACAGTCTTACCCAGATTACAATGAGATAAACTGAGGATTAAAAAAAAAAAACAACAACGACTGAAACGTTCCAGAAAAGATTAAAGACACAAACACTTGGATATTAGAAGTTCAAAAAATGCCAGGCATGGCAAACAAAAAGACATCTATACCTTGATGAATCAAAATTAAACTACAGAATACCTAAGACAGTGGGAAAGCACTAAAATGAACAAGAGTAAACACAGATATCCTAAAAGGAACAGGCAATGCCTGTTTCGTTTATGTTTTCTGTTACATACAGAAAAGCAGCAATTACCTTAACTCCTCACTTATCGAGGTGATAATGGAAGCAAGAAAACAGAGTGAGAACTGTCAAGCCAGACACTCCACTGAGGCATTCAAAACATTCTCAGACCCAGAAACCACCAGAAAATTCATCTCTGATAAGCATACTATAGTGCAGTTTGTAAAGATGCTTCTCAAAGATAGAAACAACAATCCCAAAGGAAGCCGTGAGACACAAGAGTAAATAGTAAACAGAGATCTGTAAAAAGGGTGACTCTTATCTATTTTTTCTTTGAAATAACTCTTCTTTGTTTGGCCAATCCAATGCATTGCGATTTTAGTCACCATTTTATTAATTTCTTCTCTGATATTTCTCATTTCTTGCCATTTACTGCTTTGAGGCTTGAATTGTTCTTTTTTCCCCCTTAGGACATTGAGATGCATAATTAGGTTATTTATTTGGGATCTTCTGTCATAACAATATTCCAAAGTTCCTGGTAAATTGTGCTTTCATTTTCATTTGCTTGCACAAATTTTTAAATTCCTCTCTTATTCTTCAAAGACCCCGTGGGCATTCAAGAGTGTTTTTTCAGTCTCCATGTATTTTGTAGTTAATGTAGTCTGTCTTGCTATTTATCTCTAGATTATGGCATTATGATCTGATCAAATACAAGAAACTATTTTGATTCTTTTGTATTCACTAAGACATAGTTTATGGCCTAGAATGTGACATTTTAGACAAGTCCATGGGCTCCTAAGAAGAGTATACATTCTATGTCTGCTGAATGAACTATTGTATCAAGTCCATTTGATCTATGGTTCTGTTGAACTTTGTGGTTTGTTGACTTTCGGTTTGGATGACCTTTCTAATAACAATGGGATCAGAGTATTTAAATCACAGTATTATTGTATCAGCATCTATCAGCATCTGAACCATAATGTTTGTTTTATGAAACCAGAAGCCCCAATGGTCAATGCACATCTATTTATAATTATCACATATTCTTGATGAATGAGTATTTACTAATATGCAGTGGCTTTATTGATCATTCCTCACTAAGTTTTATTTGAAGTTCATTTTATCAGAGGTAGAACAGCTTTACCAACTTGCTCTGGCTTCCATGCCTGATTGGTATGCGTTTTTCAGTTCTCAGACTGTGTCTTCATCAGTGAGATGCACTTCTTGTGCACACAGACAGCTGTATTCAATCTTTTAATGCAGAGAGCCAGTCTGAATCTCATTATTAGTAAGTTGAGCCATTTACAGTTAAGGTATTTGTTAAGATATATTTTTAATTCCTGTAATTTCGTTGATGGCTTTTATGGGAGTTAGATTGTTTGTCCTTTACCATCTTCCCTATCAGGGTCAGTGGGTTGCTAGCTTGCTATGCTGACATGGCAGGTTCCTTCTTGGCTTTCCTTTCTTAATCTCTTCCTCTCATGAAGTTTCTTCAGTCTTTCTCGTGATTAAGAGAGTCATTCTTCCTCTTTGGTGTATGGATTCCTTTATTTTCCACAAACTGGTTTGGTGTCATGAATCACCTTCATTTGTGTTTAGCTGGAAATTCTTTTCCCGGCATTGTATGCATGCACATATGTGTGTGCACATGTATGTGTGTGAGTTGTGTATGCCAGCACATATGGAGAAGCTAGAGAACAATTCTGTACCAAAGACAGGGTTATTTTTGCAGAGTTATTCTCTCTGTCTATTTACACGTGTTCTGGAGACCTTGCTTGCGTGGCCAAACTTGTGTGGCCCCCACCTTTTCCCAGCACGCCATCTCACTAGCATAGTTCTCCATTGCTTTTAAAAGATAAATTTACTAGATACGGTCATCTTGGTTGGCATTCAAATATTTTAGTCCTTGAAATGTAACATGCTTCCCTGGCTGTGAGGGACACAAATGAGAGATCCGATGTCATTGTGGAATGTCTGCCTTTTGAGAAGAGTGGGGATTTTTTCCCTTGTAACTTTTAATGTTATTTCTTTGCTTTGTGCACTTTACATATGGACTATAGCATGTTGTTGAGAGGGTTTCTGCGTATGTCTACTCAAGGCTCTAAATAACCCTTGTAGTTTTTAATTTAGCTTTTTGCTGAGTTTTTCATTTAATATTGACAACCATATTGTTCCGTGGTTCTTCTTTGATCATGTCTTTTTAAAAAAATAACAGCAACTTAAAATGGACTAGAAACTTAAATATAATACCCAAGATTATAAAACTGCTAGAAGAAAATATAGAGAAATTTCCCAGTGATATAGGAAATTATTTGCTAGTGATAGTTTTTGTTCCTGAAAATTTCAAAAGCATGAGCAACTAAACAAAAAATCGATAAATGGGAGTCTAGATGTGTGATGTGCTTGCCTAGCATGCAAATCTATGTTTTATGTATATGCAAACACACACAGAGCTTAAAATTATTAGTTTTTCTTCGTAATATTGTCAAGTTTCTTAGCCAAATTTTATTAGGTTTAAAACCCACCATTCTTTTAAAAACTGTACATGACTCTTGTAAAAACTCTAAACAAACTTTAAATATTTAAAAAATGGATAGGAGAAGTCAATGTATACAGAGAGCTTTTCTTCTTGGTGAACTTTTGTTATTTTTATATATTCCATAATGGGGAGGCAAACATTTTCTCTTCTTCCTTTCATATCCTTGTATCCTGGAACTTTATGGGCAGCATGGATTTGGGGTAAGCCTGAAGCAAACATATCTGACCGAACTCCATATGTAGGTTAAAGTAAATGTTCTGTAGGATGAAGAGGAAAAGGAGGTTACAACATATGAGTGCCTTTAGGAGAGTCTCAGGCAAAAACTTATTCTGAAAGTGAGTTCAATGCCCAGCTCCACTCCTCACCCCAAGACTGACCGTGAGAAAGTCCTCAAAAGCCACTACACTTCTGTGTCCTTCTTTGTAAGACAATGATGATAGACATCTCCATAGGTGGAGTTCCCTGCCCTGCAATTGCTCTCAAATAATCACTCAGAGGCTTAATATTAATTACAAATGCTCAGCCAATAACTCAGGCTTATTACTACTAGCTCTCACAGTCTACATTAATCCATATTTCTTATTTATACTCTGCCATGTGACAGTACCTTTATTAGCATGGCATGTTCATCTCTTGCTCCCTCTGAGTCTGGTGACTCCTCTGACTTCACCCTTCCTCATTCCATCATTCTCAGTTTGGCTTTCCTGCCTAACTTTATCCTGTTCAGCTCTTGGCCAGTCAGATTGTTTCTTAAACCAATCACAGTGACATATATTCCTACAGTGTACAAAGAGATTATTCTAAAGCCCATCATCTACACAGTGATGGGAAGGACATGGATGGTAATGGAGAACATTCAACAAGGCATTATCATGATTAATTATTATTATTGTACAAGCCATCCTGTAATGCAGTTGGACCCTCATAGATAGTCACATGACAAATGCCATAAGTGGTTCACACAATATTAGCTGTGTCTTCCATCATTAAATTAACTGTATTCTGGAGTTATTAGCTATGATTTATTAAAATGTTCACATGGACATACCTAGACTGTGATATATTCAAATTATATTGTTTTCATGTTATTATTTATTTAGTCACTTTTACTTGGAGACCACATCCTTCTTTGTATAACGTACAAAGATAAGGTTCTACTTTGACAGGAGGTCATTATGAGGCACCTGATATATCTAACTCAACATCCTTTTATTGAAGCTATCTCCTGAACCTCCATGGTTCAGGATTAGCTGGGAAATTTTCATGAATATAATAACACAGGAAATGAAATGTATCAAGTCCAACATCATTCTCAGAGACGCAGTACAGATGTGCAAACAATCCTAAAATAAGTCTTTGACAAGAGCAAAACATATTGAAGAAATGGAGACAAGAAGGCTAACAAGCCATTGAGAGAAGTATAACTCAAGAATTCCTTCCTTACCATACAAAAGAAAATGTCTCAGTGGTAGGGTATCGTTCCCACATTCTCACCCTTCCACACACACACACACATCTCTGTAGAAGACAGACTGTCCCCCAAAGACTTTGGGATGAGTGAGTGGTGGGAAAAGCAGACTGGTGAATGCATCATCCCAGACTGATAATGGAAACTCATTCTATTCTTATCTTCGGTAAGAAACCAGGGACTTAGAGCAGACAATAAAAATATAAATTTAAAACATACAATATATGAAAGTTTTCAAAGATGTTCAAACTATCCATCTCTCAGTAGATGGTATTAGTGAAATAAAGTTCTAAACCATACTTTGAAAAATACTCATTCTCACACAAGGTTCCTTGAATTTCCATCCATCCATTTTCCAACATTTTAGCCATAGATATTTCCAAATACTCTGCACCAGCCAGAGGAGATCAGTGGGCACTTTGGTTTCATTGTGTGAAGAAATGTCTACCTGTAGTCACAACCTATGATCGTTGATGTAATGATGTCAGATCTCATGTCCACTGTCCTAAGAAGGGATCACTTGTTCCTGCAAGGCTGCTGAGAACCCTGGTACTAAACTCTACTCAATAAAGAAACTGCTGTCCAGGAGCCCCCTCTAGAGGGCAGTAGACCAGGGGTCTACGGAGAGGGTGTGTGTGAGTGCAGTTGAAGAGCCTTGAGACAGACTATATACTCCAGTCTAGAAAAACAACCTTGGATACTCTAGGTATTCTTGGCTGACAACTTGACCAACCTAAGAAGAAGGAACTTCAATTGAACAACTGCCTTAATCAGATTTGTTTGGGGCACATCTGAGAGGCATCTTCTTGATTCCCAAGTGATGTAGTGGGCCCAGCCCACTGTGGGTAGTACTAGTCCTTGGCATGTGGGACTGGGCTGTATAAGGTAGATAGCTGAACAAAAGCCTGAGAGTAAGCCAGAAAGCAGCGTGTCATTGTGATTTCTGCTTCAGTCTCCTGCCTTGAGTTCCTGCCTTGGCTTCCTTTGGTGATGTGCTGTAATCTGTAACCTGAAATATATCCTTTCCTCCCAAGTTGCTTTTGGTTAGGGTACTTAACACAGCACAGAGAAAGGAAACCAGAACATATCTCTAAACTTCTAGGTCTAAATTAAGATGTTTTAGACTTCTTTTGACTCACACTTTTACTATAGACCACTCTGTGTTAGCTGGGGTTAAGATACGTGCAGGGAGTATAGCCCAGGTCAACCAGACTAAGCTGTGATATTCTGTAGCTGGCGTGTATTAAAGTCACTTTCAGCTTACAAGATTTTTAGATTAACATGGGTTGATTAAGAGGCTACACCTTTGAAAGTCAGAGATTTGACTACTATTTGATTCTCAAACAAGATTTTAATTTCAATTAAAACACTGGTGAGGCATTCAATTCATCTTATAATTTAAAGTTCCATTCTTATTGAATATTGATTGCCAAGACGGGAAAATAAAATTTCAAAAGTATGGATCACGAGACTAAACATTCTCTAATACAAACCACCTTGAGTTCTCATCCATGACACATGGGCATCCACCTAAAAATTTAAGCAAATTCTAAGCTTACTAATAACATCCCTTGGAAGGCAATTACTCAGAAGTAAATATTCAGCCCTACTTTTAGTAATTTTAGGAAATACTTTTTCAATGCAATCTGCATGAAATATATAAAATTCCCTTTCCCCCTCTTTGGCTAAAAAGTCTATTCTCCCAGCACACATAGGGCGACAGAAAACCTTTGTTGTACTAGGACCAGGTGACTTTTCTGGCAGTGTCAAAAACCTTAAATGAAGGGGAGAAAAGGAAACCATTTTTTAAAATTCTGTTTGCATTGGACATTTTACTGAAAACACAGCTTTCTTTCCCTCTCTAGTAAATCTCATGAGCCAGAAAGGATGGAAGAAGGCAGGACGGCAGCTTCCTGTTGCTGTCTTCAGCCCTTGTCTGATTGGACCATTGCCTCTGCCAGCAGCGTGTGGACGGAGGACATTCTTCGCCTTAGGTTTGTACTTAATTATGAGGGCTGCTGCTAATTGTTTTTAGAGTCGCCCACCCCCGATTTGTGTTTTAAGCAGGAGATGGAGGTGTGATTCACATAAAGAAATCAGTAACCCATGATTTCCCGACTTACCCCGCAAATTTACCCCACAAACTCAACTGCTATTTTTGTTTCGCAGAATGCCATGTAAGTACTTAATTCCCATCCAGACGAAGACTAGATGGTCCTAAACTACATACGCTTTTCAGAATGCTAGGAGCTGAATTTCATAGCAAGACGTACCACTCCTGAGCAGGCTCCGAGTTTCGACAGTAGGCGCTTTCCTCCAGAAAGTTCTTTCCATGATGAACCCTTAGAACTGTGCTCAGAAACAAAAGAGCCCCCATTATATTAAGATAATGGAAATACATGAGCATATTCTAATTATAGTTCACAACGTGTTGCATTAATTTGTGGACATACCCACTAGGAAGAGTATCATTTAAACCTGGGCTCCTTGCCCATTGTTGACGGGGAGATGAAGTGCGTGGCTGCTGTGAAAAAACCCTAGCGTTCCTCCAAGGCCGAAACAGACACGCTCAGGGCTAGCCTTTCTGCTCCCAGGTGCAGTGCCCTACAGCAGTCAAAATGGGGCCCAGATCCTGGAACAGGGGTGCTAGGATTTGGGATTCCTACAGGAAATTCCATCCTGGAGGCCACTCGCAGGACCCTAGCACGAGAAAGAAAGATTTGTCTCTCAGGAGGAGAAGGCCTACATATTGCTTGTCTGGCTGTCTCATCTTTTCTGCAAATTATACTGCTGTTGCGATAAAGACAAAGATGAGGAATGACCAATGTGTGTGTGGGGGGGGCTACTACCCTTGTCCCTGAGGCCGTCTAAACCATTTGTTCCTTTCCCCATTTCTCTATAGGTGATCTCTCAGACTGTCTCTCTCTCCTCTCCTCTCCTCTCCTCTCCTCTCCTCTCCTCTCCTCTCCTCTCCTCTCCTCTCCTCTTCTCTTCTCTCTCTCTCTTTCTCTCTCTCTCTCTCTCTTTCTCTCTCTCTCTCTCTCTCCCCTCTCTTCTCTCCTCTCTCTCTCCCTTCTCTTCTCTCTCCTCTCTCCTCTCTCTCTCTCTCTCTCACTCTCTCTCTCTCTCTCTCTTCTCTCCTCTTTCTCTCTCCCCCTCTCTTCTCTCCTCTCTCTCTCTCCCTTCTCTTCTCTCTCCTCTCCTCTCTCTCTCTTCTCTCCTCTTTCTCTCTCCCCCCCTCTCTTCTCTCCTCTCTCCTCTTTCTTCTCTCCTCTCTCTCTCTCTTCTCTCTCTCTCTCCCCCACCTCTTCTCTCCTCTCTCTCCTTTTTCTTCTCTCCTCTCTATCTCGCCTCTCTCTCTTCTCTTTTCTCTCCCCCCCCCCCTCACTCTGTCCCATCCTTTCCTCCCCCTTCATGTGACCTCTGGAAGCTTTTGTAGGAACAGGGTGGGGAGATGGACAAGATCAGGCCTGAAAGTAGCTTCTACTCTCAGGCACCCTCTATGTTGCACTTCTTCTAAAATAATCAAAGCAAAAATAAACAGAATAACACCCATAAGATATACAGACAAGATGATACAGGACAAACCACATGTAATTGGATAATCACCACCATAACCGTGAATAGCAAGCAATTGCTATGGTCTGCCTTCCTTTCTTTCTTTCATTTTTTTTTTCTTTTCATGGAAACAAAAAGTTTGTTTTTCTTCCAAATAAAAACACTGGTTTGTGGGTTTGACTTAACTTTTTTTTTTAATTCTTTGTGTAAGAAGGTCAGAGTGACTATCCACCCAAGTATGAAACAGTAATAGTTTCCAGCATGGGAAATTTGATTAATTAAACAAAAGGAAAGAAAGGAGACCACCTTGTATCACTAAAGACAAAACAAAGAAAACAACGCATGCTTCCAGCTTTGATGTCACGAGGAACTTTGATCCCCTTGGCACTGGCCTCAGAGGAAACATTATGGGATGTTTGTTTTCCCTACACTTTGAAAGTGATTTCTTATACCCAAGGAAAAAAAAAAGAATCAAAACTCCCCTGACAAAATTTTACACAGAAAGGTAAGTGACACACGGGATTATTTTACATCACCTTGACCAAGTTCTGCTGGCTCCCAAATCCAGGCTCTGATGAGTAAGCTTACATAACAGCAGTACTCACAGAAGCCTAGCCAAAGAAACAATATTTTGCTTGAATCCATGGCGACGTCACAGTTGCCACACATACTGAACACACTTCGAGAACATTAGGTCATATTTACCTCATCAGGTAAGACGCAGGAATCATAGCTGCAGGTCATGAAAGCCAAGGAGTTAATGAATTCATTTTAAGCTCACTTCTCATTTTTCCCAATCATAAATTCATCTCTGACCTCTAAATTTCATGTTGTTTTCAAGGTGTGTGGGTTTCTCATTGTAACCTACTTGCAGTAATACATCATGTCAGCTATTCGGGACTGATAAAACAGTTTGATTTTCTCTATGAACACATCATCAGTCTTAGAGTAGGCTCCGGAACAGCTAAAAGTTTTCTGTCTGGTTTCAGCAAGACATCGAAAGTCAGTTCGCTCATATCTTCTCACGATAAATATTAAAACAGATATCTCCTTGGATCAAAAAGTGTGAGTAGCCTCAGAGCCGTTAGCTTATCTAGGTGGTTAAAATTCATCTACCTAAAAGTAAAGATAGATTTTTCTCCTCCAATGGCAGCTTCTAAAATAACAAAGAACAACAACTTGATTAAACTTAGTTTTTCGGAAGGCTGGGGAGAGAGCTCTACAGATAAGAGTGCTTGCTGCCCAAGCAGGAGGACTAAGTCCAGATCCCCAACATACAGGTAAGAAAACCAGGAGTAGCCATGCACATCATTCACCCCCAGAGCTGTGGGGGTGCACAGTGGGGAAGCACTGAGACTTATTGGCCTCCCACCAGCCTATCTGAAAAAATTGGGAGATGCAGGTTTAGTGAGAGCCCCTGTGCCAAGGGAATAAGATAAAAGGAACAGAGGACTCCCAACATAATTCCCTGGCCTACACACACACAAGTACATGCAACTACACACATACATGAACACCATCCACACATATAGACCACACAGAAAAAGTCAGTTTTCCTTCTAAGCTAGTCCTTTGTTTTAAAGATAATGGAAGAGACATTGTAATTTCACATATCAGTAAGGCCTTGACATAAAAATATGACATGAAAAGAAAAGTAATTGCAATATTACGTGACAGGTCTCGTGGTAACAGAAGAAGCTGATTGCAGGCTTCGGAAAGCGTGCATTTACTTTCTTAGGGGCTGATGCTCCTATGATTGGGTGTCAGTCCGCAATAGTTCTCACTTATTAACTTTCTTTTTAAAGATAAATCTGTGTGTTTAATTGTGTGTATGCAAGAATGCTCAGAGCCCTCAGAGACCAGAGACATAGGCACCCCTAAAGCTGAAATTACAGGAGGTTATGAACGTCTGATATGAGTGCTGGGTACCAAACTCAGACCCTCTGCAAAAGCAATATGCACATTAAACTGCTGTACCATTTCTCCGGTCCCTTGATTAGTTTCTTAATGGAATTACGTCAGTTAAGTCAGAGGAACTGGGGGAGTGACACAGCTTGCTTTTACACAACCGTTTCTTTGTCTATAGTACAGAATCCCAACTGTTTTGTGTATCTGAGCTATAGGTACCTGTCTAGTATTGCCGCAAGTATAAAGTTTTCAAAGGTACCTCTATGCAAGTGATAGAGATCAGTAGCATTCTTACTGCTTTAGAGTACCTTGTAAATGTCTACTTAACTTTTTACTGTGTATGAATGAAGGATGGGGTGTGTATGCCATAACACACACATGTAAGCTGGAGAACAGCATGGTGATGTTGGTCCTCTTCTTCCGCCTTTATGTGGGTTCCAGGGACTGAACTCAGGTTAGCAGGCCACATTTATCTTTACTGAGATCGAAAAGAGAGGATGAGAATGTGGTCAATGCTCACCTAGAAGTTGAAAGAAAATTGAGTTGATACCATAATAGAAACTATTTCCTCTTTGAAAGAAAATGAAGAGCTTCCTCATGGGAGAGGAGATGCTTAAAATATGAAGTTAGGTTCCCAGGTACAAAGAACATCTCCCTAGGTGGAATAGAGGTGCCCAGGCAGACGTTTAGAAATAACTAGAGGATGCTGGGCGGTGGAGGTGCATACCTTCAATCCCAGCACTTGGGAAGCAGATGCAGGTGGATCTAAATGAGTTCAAGGCCACCCTGGTCAACAAAGTTGAGTTTCAGGACAGCCATGACTGTTACACAGAGAAACTCTGTCTCAAGTAAACAAAAAAGCAAAAAAAAAAAAAAAAAAAAAAAAAAAAAGGAAGGAAGGAAGGAAAGAAAGAAAGAAAGAGAAAAAGAAAAATAATTAGACGCCTTTTTTTTTTGTCACCATGAAGGTAGGGGTGTGTCTTCTGACCTCTGATGGGTACCAGAGATACAAGCCAGCATCCCACCGTACAAAAGATGTCTCCTAACACCAAGAAAGATTATCCAGACCAACATATCAATGATGTTAAGTCTGAGAAGTTGGAAATTGGACCACTATAGAACAAAGGCCAACATACTTTTCCTTAAAAGCCAGGTGAAAATACTTTTGAGTTCTATATTATTACACAGTCTCTGCCACAATTATCTAACAGCCTGTGGAACACAAAGCCAGCCATAGGAATACCAAGTGGCTGCATTTGAACTCTGGTATAATCCTATTTACATAATCAGATTTTTGAGCCCATCAGATCCTCCTGTCTTTGTCTTCTCCAGATAGAGTCATTCCCATCTTTTAGACTCCCTGAATTCTTATTTCTAGAACTGGAAATGATCTTAATTATCATCATGTGAACTTGATGGAAGTCTAACTTTATGAGTCACATCTAAAGTAAGAAAAAAAATTGCAAGTTCTAGCATGAACATTCGACAGATAGGACGAAACTCACAGTGTTTTAAACTTACAAGTTTTAAAGGAAATGCTTCTCTGGTGTTCTATAAAATAGATTTAAAGATTTAACAACACGGTCCCTTCTCCTCTGAAAAGTCAGACAAACAACATACCAGGGTAGATGTGTCCCCTGATTCTCTAAGGCAGAGACTCTTGGTTTTTGTTCTGCTTCTCTCCATGGTTACATGGAGTGTCAACAAAGAGACCAGGAGATATGACAAAAGCTTGCTGAAGTGTATGCAAAATGCTGGGGCTGAATACGTCTGTACAATTTTAGGATGTCCACCAAACTCAGCAGGCTGCCGGGGGGAATTGTGAGTTTGGGGCTAATCTGAGCTACATACGGAGACTGCATCTC